GCGGCAGGCTTTTGCAACAACCTGATGGTGGAAGCAGATGGCATAATCTAATTCTATTTCGCAACCTACTGCTGTTGTATCACGACAAATACAACAACAACAACAACAATAATAATTACTACTACTACTACTACTAATAATAATAATAATAATAATAATAATAATAATGCTTAAAACTCGTTTAAATTTCTATACTGAACAAATAATACCGGGAAATTGTTGCAGTTTTGTCCCTATCGGCTGGCAGTCAGATTGCCGTCAGATTTGGCACTAAATACTGAGATGCCGTTAAAAGCACGGACTCGTCTTCTTTGGTGACGTTTGCTGTATTTTGTGTAGTAGACCGACAACCGATCTCACTCGTTACTTTCGCACGGCATAGAAAGGAAGCTGCTATATAACTCTATATGGTGTCGCAACATAGCAAAGTTAAGTAAATACAGAAAACCGTTCATTGCTTAGGCTATAATTAGTTACGGGAAATACGGCCGCATTTAAATTCGAGCCCGATAGAATAAAACGCTACAGATTTTTAAAACTAAGTCAATATATTATGAAGACACATGGAACAAAACAGATATTGGAATTAGATCGGTGCCAGAAATTATAACCCGAGGCATCAAATATAGTAGGGAAAGGGCAGTATTTGTTTGGAAAGGGTAAAAATGTGTGCAATTCTGGAATAATAAAACTAAACAAATAATATGATAAATATCTGAGAAACTTCGGAGATACCCCTGGGGCGTCACAGTTTCAGTACTGGACAGAGACCTATTCAATAGCTTATTAAATGGTGGACAGAGACCTATTCAATAGCTTATTAAATGGACACAAAAAAGGCTCCGCAAAGCCATTGCGCATATTTTCCCGCTTTAATGTGGGCCCTGTGCTAACTCAGTATAAGAGGGCAACTGGCTGGTCTTATTGTAACGACTGAACAAATGGGGGGGGGGGGGGGGTATAATTCTGGGCTGTCATTGTTAATGCCATTGTTAAAATATCTTGTTTTGGGTTCGAAATCATTGATGTTCTTGGCTTGATATCATCCTCATTTTGACACAATGTGATTATTATTATTATTAGTAGTAGTAGTAGTAGTAGTAGTAGTGGTGGTAGGTCTAGTAGCAGTAATACTAGTAGCAGTAGTTAGTAGTGGTGGTGGTAGTAGTTTTTCCTCACATAATTTATAATTCTGCCGGCTTTTCCAGGGCCTGTAAAGTGAACATCCCACCATTTTCAGGCCCTTTTGACAATGTTCCAGACTGTCCCAGACACCGCGTCTTACGTCAAGGTAAGACAACATCGTCTCTTCCATCAGGTAATACTTGGGAAAGGGTTTGGGTTTCTCGTTAAATTTAACTTTAAGCTTTGCTTTAGCGTCATGATTGCGATTTGTGATTTGAATGTAACTAGGATCAAACTCTAATTGTATTTTTAAAATTAATTGTTTTATTGGTATGCTGTGAAATACAAAAAAATCCTCACTTTATCTTTGACGTCAGGGTTTCGGGAGTTAGTTTGTCGTCCTTGTCACATCCTCCAGTTTCTTTCATTTAAAACAGAGCCTTGCTGTCAGTGTTTACGTTCAACAGTGCGATCTGATTTTTTTCGCGAATGTCAAAATAAATTTAAGGTTTTTGGCTTCTACAGTGTGGCGCCCTGATTACTTTTACATATTATCATATTTGACATCATACAGTTTTTCTCCCCCCACCCCCAACCCATCCGCCAGTCTCTAAAGAATGTAAACAAACCAAATAGCCAACATCTGGGATACACGTTTTAAAACTCTTTACATAAAATCATAAGGAACAGTATAGACAAAAAGGCCTTGAAAGCTTTGATTTATGATCGTGAAATCTATTTTCTCTTTTATCTCCATTAATATATGACAGAAGTCTTAAATACACTAATTTGAGAAACAAAGCTTGATATTGAGATAATAATGGTTTCAGCAATAATGAGGTCAGACCCTAACTTTTAAGATGCTTTACAATAATTATCCTAATTAAATAATGCCTTTTACTTTAATGTATTTTCACAGATGCAAATGTAGTCCTTTTGCATTATATGTAGCTCAAGAAATGGGTAACACTTTGCCTGAAGGGCCCAAATAACTTAATAACTCAGTTACTACTCAAGTACAAACTGCAAAAAAATATAGTAACTGCATGAGATACATGAACCCTAATGACTGATTGATGATGGACATGGGACCAGTATGTAACTGACACTTAATTTCTGCTTTATTAATACAAAGTAAGAATGTACTGCTGTATTCGTGCCCCCTTGAGTAACGTGTTACCAACACTTGTGTAAATATAGCCTATATTATAAAGATCCCCAAATGGAAGCGTTTAGAGAATACTTAGTGTTTAGCAAATCCGCTGTACAGAAATGTGTGCCTGCATTGTAGGACACGTCAAAAACGTCCTGACCAGGGAATTCATGATTTCTCCATATTAGACTCTTTTTTTTCCAGTGGATGCTGCTCTGTTTTGAAGACCTATCACCCTTGACTTTTGAGATATACAGAGCAGTAGTATCGTTTGTGTTGCTTCACACAAAGAGCAGTTCTCAGAGTGGTTCAGCCTTGGACACTATGAACAATTGTCTGTTTCCAGGGCTTCTTAGCACTGTGGAATGTTTGAGGAGAAAATACTCTTTGAAATAAAAAAAACCTCTTTTGCAGCAAACCAGGAGGACAAGAACATCAGGAAAATGAAAGTTAATATTACAGTTTCCTTTTCCCTAATAAGAACATTTAATCTAAACTCAAAATTAAATATTTATTAACATGATTCATTTATTATTACATTTTTTGAGTGTGTGTGTATATACGTGTTACAGCATATACATATACACAAATGTATGTACATTAAAATGCGTCATAGTGATGTGTTCTATCCATTGGCGTCAATTTCCATAAAAAGTATTCTGTGTCATTTTCGAACATTTTTGCATTTGTGTAAACTATAGAATCTGGGAAAAGGGAAGTTATTTCAAGGGGGGGGCTATTTTTCATATAACGTGGCATCTGTCATTCAGAATTTCGGTCATGTTATGAAGAATGTGCATTATTCTGCTCAGAATGCAAACCAGACACACCCCAGGAGAAATTTTAAAGAAATATTCAGCTCCATTCAGGCGAGTCTGCAGTCTAGCTGTAGTTTTGTTTGGGTAAGGCCAGGCGAGACTGCAGCTCTCCAATAAAAATAAATCTCAAATTAATTATGGCCTCAAGCAAGAGGCCAGACAGTTTGAGTCTGTGTGCAGCAGCCTCCACTCTCTGCATTTACTATTTTCACATTGGCTTTGCCTTTACCCATGAGAAGGAAAGGGGCTAACCAGGGCTCTCCAGTCTAACATACAGCCCTGGGCCATAGTCCTCACCACGTTCAGGCTGAAATATGTCAAAAGTTTGTAACCAGAGCAAATTTGTAGATTCTTCCTGGTTAAACATTAGTTTACCACAGTTTCAACAGTGACATTTGGAGGAAATATATGATCCTATTGAAGGTGTATTTATATAAATATGCACTATTTCTCCTGTTTCTGGATGTAGGTCTTGTAAATGACATATATTTGCAAATTAATTATATAAGGTATACAGCAACTTAAATACCAATAAAATAAAGTACTTGTAAATTTTGCATGTTAATATTTTATGATACGTGTATGGTAAATGTTTTGGTTGATGATGATAGGTGTACCTGTAAATGTAGGTGTATCTGATTCCAAAAAATACCGAAAGATATTTCTTAAACAAAACGAGAAATGGTGTGAAACGCCCCCCCCCCAGTGTCCCATTGTTCCCTCCCACTTGCTGTTCATTCCCAATGGTGAGTAGTTCCTGGCCTCCTGTAGCTCGTGGTAGGAAGAAATGTCTGGCAGTGAAGTTCCAGTGTAGATCCAGATGTTCTGTGGTGCACTGTATAAACCAACTTTCATTTGTTTACTGGCCTTTCGAAAATGTTTGGTATTCATTAGGCCCGGGCAAGTCATGCCTGTGGAACGCCCCCCCCCCCCCCCCAAAAAAAAAAAAAAAAAAAAATATATATATATATATGCAGTCAGTTATATATATGACTATATATATATCATGAAGTAATTAAATGATTGTGGAACTTTTTCTTTCTTTAACGTCTTCGTGTTATAACATTATTAACGTGAAACCCCTGCATCAGTTGCAGTTAATTTTGCATGTAATGTCTTATTTCGTCTTCGGAGAAATCATTACAAATATGTTTTTTTTTAAGCTTCATCGGCGGGAGCATTATGTAACGGAGCAAAATTATCCTTCTGCTTAAATTTTTTTCTTTCTTGCAAACACCAAATCACATTACCGATATAATTATAAACCGTCTATGATTTTATAAACGCAATGAAGGTAAATTAACTTGCCATGACTAAACCGTGGTGCATTTGCAAATCACATGTCTGTAGTACATAACTATTTTAGGACGGATATTCTTTGTTAATATCGGTTAGGGTCCAAAATAAATAACGACTGCTAAACACAAGAGACTTATAATACGCATTGTCCAGAGCAGATGCTATTTCAAAACAATTTTCGAAAGCCAGAATTTCGACAAATTTTACTTTTGAGTTAAACCGTTTTTTTTTTTACTTAAATTTAATATGAGCAAAAGGAGACCGCCACCAAAAAGTTAAACAAGGTGTCTCCCTTAATTAGAATACACTGAATTGGCCTCAGGCAGGAGCAGCCTTGACCCCTAGCAGGATCCAGATGTGGAGGTCTCAAGGGGGGCCTCCCCCCGGGCAGACCCCCAAGTCGAGAGCAGACAGGCCGACCCCTGCTGTCGGTGACGGCGGCCCGGGCTCCGCTTCGCTCAGTTGCAGCCGCTCCCCGAGGCGGAGCCCTGTTGGTCTGGTCACGTTCACTGCTGGCTCCATGTCACTGGAATTGCGGCTGAATTGATGAGGGTAATTTGAACAAGAAAAATGGTTGTAGGAGGGGAACTCCGGCCGCTACAAACACTAAGTCGGGTAAAACTTAGCAAGCGGTCACTTTGTAACTGCTTCACCACCAACGCAAAGTAACATTATTTTAACAAGAGAATGAAGAATATGTATTAACATCAATGATAGCAGCAGTATCAACATCTGGATGACTGACAATCGGAAGATCGCTCGGATTCCATTTTCATTTAAGCATAATTTTTGTTTTGGCACAAAGACTGGTTGACATCTCAAGCTGTGCGTGGTAGGAGCTGCTCATAGCTAGGGCTCCGGTTTTGGGTCCAGCAGATATTGTTTCAATTTGGGGGGGAGATCTGAGCGGCTACTGTGAACTTGGAGAAACGGCGCACACGTGCAGTGCAGCCCGTGCAGACACTGCGGCGGGGGTTTACCCCGGTCCCATTTTATTAATGGTTGTTTTAGAGGAACTGCCGAGGCCTGGACAAGCGGCGTAAACGCTAGGTTGTTGAATTCCCTGTAACAGGTATAATCCCACTATTGGATTTTCTCCTGTTTGATTTACAGTCAGGATATTGGTATTTTAATGAAGCGCAGCTGTTTGCTATGGAAGTTTCAACTTTATTTATTTCGTACTGTGTCAGACTTACACGTTTTTATCGGACCCACGAGAAAAGGATCAAAGAAAACAGACAATTTAAACTCTGAGATAGATAAAATCAGCGTAATGAAGGCGTTTTAATGTCTGATGTATAGATTTGGATGCAAAAGGAAAAAACGCCGTAGGTGCTTTTAAAGTTATTACAACATCGCCGTTGTTATTCCTTGAAATTAAGTCTCCTAATTTGTTAGTAATCATACAAACCTACCCGGCAGCCGACGCTGCATTCCGATGTAAAAGCAACTTAATCGCACTTAAACAGATTAGAACAATGCTGTGGACATTTCGAAGCAAAAACATTTTAAGAAGAAAAAAATTCCATTGTTTTCTCTCCTTATCTCCTCGGGACAAGTATCCTGCTTTTGGTGTTGTAACGAAAGGGGGGGCTTGATGTGACACACAACGCTTCCTTCTCAAAAGCAGTGACTTCACTTCCCAAAATTAGAAAAAAGAAACCATCCGGCTAACTGTCTCTCGCTCTCCGCCACATAACCGGGGCTGGAATTAATTCAGGAGCGTGTCATGTTTGGGATATTGTTCGGGTCCGGTGAAAATTGCCCAAAATGGACGGAACTATTAAGGTAAGGGTGGGGAGCAATGAGTGCGGGTCTCCTTGCTGTTTATCAGTCGCGCCTCCCTTCAGCGTGAGTCTTTCTGCGCACCGACCATGCGATGCTCCCGGGCTGCCTTTCTCCTTCGCTCCCAAAGCGGTAACCAGATTTCCTTCTTTTTTCCTCTTTTCTTTTGAGGTTTCCTTTTTCCTTTGCGATCGAAACCCTGCTAAAAGGGCAGAACCCTTCATCCGCCTACCGAACATTTGAACTTGAAAAAGGTTTCGATTTTGGAAATAGACGCGAGGCAAGGAGTTGAGGGATTTGGTTATTTTTGGTTTGAGACACACTTACGGCTTATTATGCGGTGGTGATTGTTATACTTGGATATGCGTTGTGACTATGTTGATTTAAAAAAAAACAACAGTGTTATTTTTATGTAGGAGGTAGAGATGGTCAGTACTTTGTTACTTATTTGTAAGTGTCAAACTGTGGGCTGCGCAACAGTGATGGCTCTGCGCCCAATTTACCCAAAAAGTGTCATCGCAATACATACTGAAGTTTTCAAATAGCCCGGGAAAAAGGCTGGTTTCCTGAATCGTGGTATTTAGTGTACGTTGCGTGTTGTTGGTTTTATTTGTTCACGAGTTTGCACGCAGATCAGCATCCGTGTATGTGATGCTTCTTACCCGACTTCATGCATCTGCGAAAAACCCGCAGCTGCCAGTAACGCGGTGAGCCGAAGCAGATCTAGTCTAAAAAAACCACAAAACTCTTTGCAATTATTAATTATTCAAAAGATTGAGACAACGCGACGGCTTTTGTACAACTGAAGTAATGCCAATTTAGGTAATAAAAAAAAACATTTATTACTGCTAGAGGCCTGTAGTGGTGCGTAGTTTTCTAAATATGTGCATATATGCTATATACACCGATTGCGTATATTGCACAGGCCTAATACATTGTATTAGTTCAAAGATGAAAATTATTAAATAATTTAGGCTACATAATGAACACCAAGTAGTAGTGTATTATCGATTAGGCTGGACGATGTGTTTTTCATATGCTGCAGTTACACGGTCTACAAGTCTCTCAAAAGCAAATCTTGCTCTTTCCCTGACGGGTTTCTTGCGGTTGAAATAGTGTCATTGCAGCGCTGGGTGTGTTGCGATTATGAGGTCCACAAGATCATGTAATGCCGCTTAATTGCTTACTGAGGATTAAATCATTTTCGACCGAGAGCGCAGCAAGTGCATCTGATGCAAGTGGACCTGTAAGAGGGTGGAAACGAATGAAATTGTCTTTTATAGCTTTTGCATGTTAGGTGCAGGTTAAAATGTGCGCCTCCTGATCTGTTAGTGTATTTTTAACTGGCGGAGAAACTCACACTTAATTGTGCATCGTTAACAAGCGACCGCGCCTTTGATGAAATTGTCCGATAAAGTGACGTCCTGACAAACACTTTAGGAACAAAAAACAAAAATGCAAGAAGCATTGTTTGGAAAAAAAACGCACCCCCGTTAACAGTAATAATTTTTATTAATTTTGAAAATAATTCTAATTCTGTTTAACTCATTAAGGATTCTGCCTAAATCGATTACGTTCACATTGTATTGGTCATAGTATTATTAATCAAACAGGTTTTCTTTTTTCATTCATGAAAAACTTAAATGATTATTTAATATTATGCTACATTCAGCCTAGAACAGATTATAAAATGAATGCAGGATGTCGAGGAGCTCAGTTTTTGATTGAGCTGTAACCGTATCCTGACCAGCTCATCAAAAGTTCGGGGTTATCGAGTCATCCTAGCCTTCCTGTTCTACACAATCTGGTTCCCCCACAGGTTTCCCTTTCCTCTTTAAAAAAAATTAAATAAATAATGAAATTAAAAAGGCAGAAATACCCACTAACACTGCAGCGACTAGGGCGTGTGAACGCTGTTTGCGTCTCAGCAGATGTGAGCGCTGCTGTCTGGGATTTCGGTGCTATGAACGCGGTCCAAGTTTTAAACTCTGACGCACACCCTGTCCGTCTGGCTGTGGTACTCCCTCTGGCACATTATAACAAGCTATCATGACCTTGACATTTATATTTATGTTTATGTCATTAGTTTACCAGTAATACAAGTAATTTGATTATTACAATCTAAGAGAAACATTAAACTCATTACTTAGTTACCTATCCTTGAATATACTGATAGCGATCATGTATGCTTGTAGGCTGAATTACAGTAATTTTATTAAAAGCCTTTATCTTTTTTTATTTTTAATAATTGCAGATGGCTCTTCTGGCCATTTTGTGAATGGTTAAGAGGGATTTCACCACGTTCCAATTGTACTCGTAGAAACTGAAAAACAGGCTTTTAAAGACTTTACAACCACAGGACAGGCCTATACGTTATCATCCATTTACCATTGACATATTGTTGGGTTGTATGACAAAAATTAGCTACTAGTATCTCAGAACCTAGCCGTGCATTTGTGGTAACTTGTTTTAAAAATAATTATCATTTTGAACGACCTCAGTGGTCTTCACAGAATCTTCAGCCTGACAGTCACAAATTACGCAGGGGGCTGATATGTCACCGTGAGTGTCACACGTAACTGCCACAATGCCTTTAACTGCTGCAATGCCGCAGATCCTTTACTGCTGAGCCCTTATCAGTGACTAGTGAGAGCGTGTGGGCTTTAGAGATAGGCAGCAATGAGCAGCGGTGCCCTGACAAGACCACTCTTGCAAATCTGATAAATGCAATTTATGTCCTTCGATGTTGAGCAAAATGGTGCCGACGACGGTTCGAGGATCGGTCTTGCCCCAAGCATACCCTCTTTTGTGCTCTCGATGCAGAATGCCATTCTTCCTGACTGAACGCCTGCTCATTGGTTGTAAAACAGCTACTAGTTTTGGCTTGTTGTTGGTGTTGATACTGAAATCAGAATGGCCTGATAAGATTTATTAAGACTAGATTGGGTTCAATTTCCCAGAAGCTCAGAACTTCTGGGAATTAATAACTGCACCATCAGTAAAATGCTTTTGGGAAATTTGCGCCCAATCTGTTTTTCTTGCAGGGAATTCTTCAGTATTTTTTATAGTTGTGAATATGAAGAAAACATTTGTAAAGCCATCTTAAAATGTGCTACTTATTTGTATGGAGTTCGGGCGATTTATGACATCTGTCTAGAAAATTCTGGCAACTGGGAGTTAGTGACTTCGGAGTTGAAGTATTTGTTTTACGGCTGACGGCTAACCCCACAGACAATATTCACCATACCGTGAACAAAGCCGAAGTCTTAAAGAGCAGATCTTTTTCCCTTTTTTTTCCAACACAGCTCATCATAACTCAAAAGTTGTAATGTCCATAATCTGGCGGTGTAGTTCCTTCTGGGCCACACTGAACCAGTTAACTCCGTCAGGGATGTGGACAGTCCTGCTCTCCGTAAGCCCAGCCAAAGTGTCATAACCGCTATTAGCACCCCATAAGCCTAACTGACAAGTCTTGGGAACCTCTGCAACTGATTTGCAGAGAAGGGTGCGAATTCGCCTCAGGAAACCTGGGGGGTTTCGGATTGGAAAGCCACTCGGCACTTGACGCAGGGGTCGGCGATCCTTGCCTAGCTTTGTCAGCAAAGTCTGAGATGGGAGAGTGATGTCAGAGAGGGTAGAGGGGGCTGTTTTCATTTTAGGAGGCCGGTGGAAGAAAGGCAGCGCCGATAGGGATGGACACGCAGTAATATCCTGTCTTATTTTTGAGGAACAATCCCGGGGTTCTTATCTCGCACAGGCATCTGCCGCAGGATCAGAGGCATCGCATGCTAGCACAACAAAGGGGGGGGGGGGCGGGGGGGGGGACAGGGAGCCGCCATCCAGGTCTTCCTGCGCCTCTCCGTTTGTTTGCTTTAATAACCCTAACGCTGCCCCAGCTAAACTTCACGGCAGGAATCCGCACAGAAATAAGCTTCATCTCCTGCCGGCGTTCGGCCAGGCTGTCTGTTTGAAAGGGAGGATTGTGGAATCACACGTTCGGTGGGGGATTCAGACCCGTTTGCTTTTTCAGCAGGGATCTTGAACTCTACTGACATCCACGTGTATACAAGGTTTCGCTCTAGCCGATGTTCTGAATTACATAGCTAGCGCAACAAGCGTGACTCTTTAATCCTTCGAATAATAAAGGTCATTTTATGATCACATGACTTTCATTCCCTTACCTAATACATTATATGTCTGTAATAAAGTACTGTACAGTATGTGAAAGGTATAGATATAAGTAATAGGGCTATTTACATACCATCAGGCTAGGGGAAGGGGATCATAAAGAAGACCACTGGTACTATACTCACCAAGACTGTGTTTGATGTTTTGCTGAGTGTATTTCCTGAAGCCTTCAGAGAAAAATAAGTTGGTAGCAGTTTCCAGAGAGTGTCACTGACAGGAACCCAAGGGTACCCCTTCATTATTTACTTTTGTTATGTGGCCCAGCACGTACTTCCCAAGCAGGGGCAAAGACAGTCCAATACGATACGTGCAGTCATATGTGCGCACGCATGCACCACCGTGAAAAAACATAGTGGATAGCAAAATGATACTTCACTAGTTCTTTCCATGTCATATTTTGATTCAATATAATAATAGGCGAAATGTATTATTTCATTCAGCATGAGTTTTACATACATATTTAAATTTAAAAATGAAAGATTCAATTTGCATAAGTATTTAAACCCATGATCTAAATATTTGGTGAAGGCAAACTGTCACTTTTTGGGTTAGTGATGACCAGTTTTTTACACTGGTGTACGTACTTTCCGTAAGGGAGATACGTGCCGTAAGGGAGATACGTGCCGTAAGGGAGGTACTTGCCGTAAGGGAGATACGTGCCGTAGGTGCAATCTTCACCTATTCTGGTTGGTAAATATGTCCAAGCTCTATCATGTTTCTTGGAGATTGAGGACAACAGTCTCTCCACAGACTCTGAACTGGAAATAGATCCAGACTTTGACTGGGTCACAGTAAGACAGATTTTCTTCTTCTGAGGTTGCTCCAGGAGAGATTTGTCCTCGCGTTTGAGATCACCGTCCTGCTGAAATATGAATTTTTACCCCTGTTTTAAGTCTTTAGCAGACTGAAGTTGGTTTTGCTTTTGTATCTGTCTGCATTTTGCACTGTCCATTCTTCCCTCAATCTTCACATGACTGAAGATGTGGATGAAAAATCCCTGTGACATCAAACTGCCACTACCATGCTTTACCAGATGGGTGGTGGTCCGTAGGAGAAGCACTATATTGGGTCTGCACCAAACATAAATTCTTCAAATGAAATCCACAGTACCTTTTATATAGTGTTCTGGAAATTACTCATACACATTCTGTCCCATCGCAGTCAATGAACTCTACACTTTCAGAAAAATAGGGTAAAAACTTGTACCTTTGCTTATCACTGGGGCTGTATTCTTGTAATTGCACCTTTAAGGCACAGAAGTGATACAAAGGTATAAACAGCATTCATATACCATCAATGGTACAGAGTCCATTTCTATACCTTAAAAGGTACAATTACTCACAGATAAGGGTACTATTGGGAGACAGTTGAGGGCACAGCCTACTTGCATCCCTAATCCGTATCATTCTTGCCTGGGTGCTCAGTTTGGAGGGACGGCTTGATCTAGCCAGTGTCTGTTGTATGATTTATGATATTGCTTTTATCCAAAGCGACATACAAGTTAAGAAAACTTGTGTTGGCTTGCTGCTTCTTCCATTGATTCCTCAGGGGGAAGCGTGGAGGCTTTGACTGTTTTTACCGTTAAATTCATCACGGACTTACTCTGAATGCTCCTTAGACTTCATTATGTTCTGCTTTCAGATGGACCTTTTATATACAGGTGTTTTTCTAATTAATTTCAAGTCTGTAATCATTTATCAAGCCACTGTTATTGTACACTGGCGTAAACCACTTAATTAATTAGTTGGCTTGTTAATTAGTTGGCTTGTTAAGAGCTCTAAATACTAAATGGAAACTTTTGTTTTTCTTGTGATGTAAAAGTACTATTATTTCGTATTAAAATACCCCATGGAAAGAAATATTAAATCTTCATTTTGTTATCCAGTAAAATGTGTGATTTTGTCAAGGGTCCAAATAGCATTGCAAGGCTGTGTATTTTCACAGCTTTTTTTATTGGAACGAAGCCTACGTTTTCTGGTGGAGTAGTGGTGTTCATACTGGGTATTCATAACATGGGTTAGCGCAGTGTTGCAATCTGGTTCTTGGGGACCCGCAGACAGTCCACATTTAGCTGGGAGGGAGCAAAAATGTGGTACTTCTGCGGGTCCCTGAAAACCGGCTTGGGAAACTCTGGGTTAGTAGGATGCTTATAAAAACCTTTAATAGTGTGAATACATGTATTTTAGAGATAATGATGATCAAGAAGTGAAATAAGAACACAATAACCATTGGGGTTATAAAATGTAGCACACAGAGTGGTCCTACTTAACAACCTGTGGAGAATGTGGACGACATATTGCACTTATCGGTGGTTAAATCGTTTATTGCCTTCATTCTTGGCTGCGCTCTTCTGTCTGTGATTGTTTCCCTCCTCAGTATAACAGAAGACACTCTGCACAGTTCGGTCTTGTTATAACGACACATTTTTATAGATGTCCCCGTGGCATAAGACCCAGACACTCCTGGAATGTCAAATGGATATCGCAGAAAACTCAACTGTTAGCCAGATGCTAATACAGATATTATCCATGTTCAACACATAATAAAATGCTGGAAAATATTTTTTATATTAGTTATTGTAGCATTTGGTTATTTCATTGTGTGTGACTAAGCACCTGTAAGCTGAATTGTACTTCCCTGTTCCATCAAAGCTAACTTTCGAACAAAATAATAGAGGTAGAGTTAGGAGTCGGGTTGCAATTGTTTTTACAAATGGTTCCCCAAGAAAATAATATTAAAATAGTAAACAGTGAAGTACAAGACAGCCTCAGTTATGTTGGAGTCTAAATTGTCAAACTGTTTCAGTCCTTAATGCTAAACTTCTAGTTTCAGCCCTTAATGCTAAACTAGATATCACAGGAAGTGTTTCTGATCACAGCCTTTATGAAGTGTCTGTTATAAGATGAATGTTTGCTGGAACCTACCAGAAAGATTTCTCTCAGTGCTGATGTAGTCCCACCTCTTGTCCCCTAGGAGGCGCTGTCAGTGGTGAGCGAAGACCAGTCCTTGTTTGAGCCACCGTACGCTGCTGCCGCGCCTTTACCTAAGCCGGACATGACTGCATCCAGCACACAGGACTATGTTCAGCCCCACAAAATCAACCCTTTACCCCCCCAGCAAGAGTGGATCAACCAGCCTGTGCGAGTGAATGTTAAGCGGGAATACGACCACATAAATGGATCTAGGTACAAGAATGGGTGCTCACATCACCTTTACTTGTGCATCTCTTACACTCCCTCTGAGTCTCCTGCTCTTGCACCAATCACGTCCCACTTTCTATCCACTAATAGCTGCTCGCTGTCTTCTTGCTGCTTGTGCGTCACAGGGAGTCCCCGGTGGACTGCAGTGTGGGGAAGTGTGGTAAAATGGTCAGTGGGACAGACCCCTCCCAAATGGCCTACGGGAGCTACATGGACGAGAAGAATGGGCCGCCCCCAAACATGACCACCAATGAGAGGAGGGTCATTGTACCTGCAGGTACGAGCGCCGAGAGGAGATTATTCCCTTGTTAGCCCTCATTAAAATGCCCAGTTGTGGTAATAAAATGCTATACAGCCTTTCCCCAGGTTACGATGGGGTTACGTTCTGAGAACGTAAGGCGAGAATATCGTAAGGCAAACATATTGGAAAGCAAAAATGCATTTTAACATAGTACACCTAACCTAACAAACATCACTGCCTAGCCTAGCCTACCTGAAAAACATGTGCAGAACACTTAGCCTACAACTGGGCAAAATCATTAACACAAGGCCTATTTCATAATTAAATGTTGAATATCACATGTAATATATTGAATTATGTACTGAAAGTGAAAAACACCCATCGCAAAGTCGAAATATTGTAACACGGACCATCGTAACCCGGGGAGCGTTTGTATTTAACTTTTATATCTACTGCAAAGTTAATTTAGTCGTGTCTCAGAGCTGCCAGTGCCGGTTAGCCGGAAGGTTCCGGCATTGCTAAAACCAAAATAGACGTTGAGAGGTCTGTGCAGCTACCACATTTAGAAGGATAGATCCTGACCAGGTGTTCTGGGTCTGCTGCCTCTCGTGTGACTGTCCGCTTTCTGTACCTCCCGCAGATCCCTTGCTCTGGTCACAAGACCACGTGCGGCAGTGGCTGGAGTGGGCGATCAAAGAGTACGGACTGCTGGAGGTTGACACGTCCATGTTCCAGAACACAGACGGCAAGGAGCTGTGCAAGATGACCAAGGAGGACTTTCTGAGGCTCACCAGCATATATAATGTTGAGGTCCTGCTCTCACATCTCAATTACCTCAGGGAAAGTAAGTAATCTCTCCCCCCGAGCTCATACAACAGCGACCTCTCATTTGTGATCGATGGGGCTTTAGCTGGGATTTGAAAAGCAAAAATTTGACCCATTCGTCCTTTTATGTTTGTACCCGGGGAAAAAATGCATGTAAAGGTCGTAATATAACATGAGAAGCCATGCTCTATACACTTCTTTTCCCTACAGTGGCCTAGCTTGTGGCTATAGTTAAGTCAGTGTGACCACAAAGAATCGTTATAATGACGGTAACCCCTAAACGCGCCGGCTCAGTGCATTTTCTGTCATAGAACAAAGCCAATGTTGTACGTCTGAGAAGCTACGCACAGGAAATGTATCCTTAACTTAACTGAAGGGCATGATTTACAGCGAATGGCTCTCAGACATGTGGCTTAGTGTGTTTTTGGCATTAAGACGCGGCTAGAGGAGCTGCTTGCCCGTAACGCTGGCAATCAATGACTGGAAGGCAAAGCATAGCATCTGCAAGTACAGCTTTCAAAAGTTCATGGATTGTCAGAAAATGACTGTCAGTTAGCATTAATACTGTCAACTAGCGTTTGGGTATTTAGCTAGTGGTGGATGGTCAGCTAGTACTTGAACTGTTGGCTAGCACTTTCAGGTAGTGCTTGGATTTTCAGCTGCATGGATAGCAATTAGATTTCAGGCTAATGCTAACCTTATAGATTAGCATTTAGGTGGTCGTCCAGTACTTGGATTGCTGGCTAGAGCTTGGATCCGCAGCTAACGTTTTCATTGATGACTAGCATTTCGGTTGCTAGCTAGTGCTTGGAATTTTAGTTCCTTTATTGTGAACTGGCTGGTGGATTGGAGGCTAGTTCCAAAACCAGACTCTGTTTCATGGACCCAGACTTTCCATGACCAGTTTTTTTGCAGTGCAGAATGATCAAGCAAACTCCCTGTTACGCAGGGGAGGATCTGTGAGGCATCAACGCAAATGAGCTACAGCTGTGACTCCCAGATATTATGTCACAGACAGTAACAGGGTGGGGTACCAACAGAGCCTGTCCGTTTGATGGTGTTCCCTGAAAACCATGACAGGTCCTGCTGTGATGCAATGGTAGCTTTGTTTGCGGGGGGGGGGGGAGGTGTAGAAATCCCCCTTCCCACATGGGTTTGGGTCAGAGCACTACTGCTACAAGTACAACAGGCTCCTTTGTGCATTGAACGCTAAGGTCAGCATCCAGGACAGCCACAAAGAGTCTCCTGGAGTCGAACGTTCACTGGGAACACTTGCAAAAGGACTTACCGGATTACGGGACGATGAGGCAGGGAGCTGTTCATTCGCAATGCTTGCGATTTAGCTGTATGTTTTGGAAGAAGAAGAGTTGTTTCAGATTCCTCAGCTCTGCGCTCTAAATTGCTCTGGATCCTGTCCAGTGCCTCAGAAAAAAGAGTCCTTTGCCTCACAGGCCAAGTGCGATGAGGTTGATGTTCAAGGCGTGTAGATTAGCGTCGGCTTCTGCCCCAAATGAGCCCTGCGTCAGCAAGAACTGGGGATAGACGGCGGCTGGAGAATCCTCGACTTCTGGAAGTCGCAAAAAGAGGGACTTGACCCGTCTCTCCACCAACCCCCATCAACAAAAACAAAAACGATCTCAGGCAGTGAGTTAGGCGGACTAGGACCAAATCCTTCAGGGTGAAAATATGTGGGGTCTAGGTGAGACAAACTCCTGCACTTCACTGGTTACAGGGCAGCAGGAGCTGGAAGTGTTTAGTGATTAGCGGCCGCTGGGTGTCCATCACTGGCTTCCCCACTCGGGCTGCCGTACGTGCCCCGCAATAATATCCCCCACATCTGCATGCATCATGAGCAAACGCAGGGTTTTTTTGTTTATTTGAGCTCTGATTAGCGAAGCCTGCTGCTCTTAAGCTAGCACTGACCATGAAGAATTCCTGGCCCAAAGGCTAATGGCGTGCCGGATGTAAAGCTCTGAGCGCGCCGAGAGGGCCATCGAACGGGCACACGCAAGGTATTTGCGGGATTTTCTTTTTTTTCTCCAGCTGGCAGGAGCAATAAGTCGATTGTCCATGCGCTATTTTTCTCTTCAACATTGGTGACTTATCCAGATTTTTGTAAGCGACCACCTCTTTTCCAATGTGCTTTCAATTTGGGTGCAATTTGAGAATTTGTTCAAATTAGTCTGTCAGGCAGAGCCCGTGGACTGTTTGTTTTATCGCACCCATGCATGCTGGTTCTCGTACCACATATGCGCCGGAGTGCCACATGGGGAAACTCAAGCCATGAGCGAACGTATCTTGTAACAAAGCGCTTGTGAAAAGAGGATTTTTTTTTTCCAGACCTCGAAAAATGGGCTGAAACGGCAGTGATTGAGGGCCACTGGGACGGATTTCAGTTTTCATTCCAGATGTCCCCGGTCGAATGCGACGGGTGGATTTACAAGGTGAATTGTGAAGGGGAGAACTTTTTGCCCTGGCTTCGCTCACCTGGAATGGGAGGGGGGGTACTTTCTACCCCCTGGTGGCTTGGTGAGGCGACCGTAAAAATCTGCTCGGTGAGGTGAAAGTTGTCTGGAGCAGTTCTATGCTTTTGCCATTCCTAATAGCAGATTACCGCTGGAGAGGAAGACCTCCACCATTGGTGGGGGTGGGGGGGGGGGGTATTCCTGATCTGGGATCAGTTTTTGGGGCAGTGTGGTAGGGAGGATGTGTCAGAAAGCAAGGCCCAGAATTAGGAGAGGCAGTCAGGAAGTCCAGGCCCAGGAATGACTTTGCTGATTCAGTTTTTGCCTCCAGGTCTTGGTCTTCCTGTGAAAACTGTGATAGAATGAAGAACAATCAGTAAAGTCACCCGAGAAATGCTGCAGTTAAGATTTGTATTTTCTTAGAAAGCAAAGTGCTCCATCTGTCATTTAACGAAACCATTGTGTGAAGAAATAACAAGGAACTGGGCCACAGTCTGCGTGTTTTATTTGTTCAGACCCAGAACATGGATTGCGTGGAGACACTCAGTCTTTCTAGCGAGGAGATCGTCAGTTTGGCGCCGGCTCACTCACAGTAGCCAGGCACTTGGGGACGATGAATAGCAGCCAGAAAGGGTTAACAGCACTAACTCCGCCTCCCGCGCGACAGTGAGGCCGCCCGCCTGCCCACTCTTTAGGTGTGGAATTATTTTTTTACGCGAGGACCTGCATTTCATTGCTGCGTCGGGTCTTCACCGCTCGCACAATGGAAGTCCTGTTCGGCAGGTCCAGCAGAGTTTTGGCGGGGGGGTGGGGGGGGGGGCAAGGCCTTTTGAAATATTGACCACAGCAAAACACTCCCCGGCCTTCAAATGTGGGGACAAAGCACTGTTGCGGAATCTCAAAGTGAGCGGAACATGTCCTACGTTCCTGAAATAAAAACAGCGCGTGATGTTTCTCATTGCAGATTCTAGGGAGAAAGAGATTTTTCTCGTGTCTCTTTTGGCGCGTCGTTCGTTCTCTTGGAAGTTCTACCCACTACCTACACTGTTTCCTTAGCACACTTCAGTTGATTTGTGGTTTTCGTGATTGCTGAACTTAACCGGCATTTTCGACACCCTGGCTGAAAAAATCAGAATGGCAGCTCAGAAGTTTTTTTGTGTGTGTGTGAGGGTGGCTTCGTTTTAGGGTTCACTTCACATACAAATTGTGGTTTATGGTATAAGACCAAACTTATCCTAAAGTAATCATAGTTTTCAAAATGGATGAGCATAATTGTGGAACCACTTTCAGTAACAAAGAATGACCTGAGCGGTTTAATTAGTAAGCCATTCAGCTGGACCATGAACAAGGAAAAGTATGTGGAACCCAGTTTGTTCTCCATACGGAGCCGCATACTGGATGACTGCAAATGACTGAAAGTGGGACATGTAGGCGATGAACCAAACTAATGTTTCTACTGAAGGAGACAGTTTTTAAAATTAAGCTATATGAACATGTCAGAATGTGTGCTGTTTATCAGCTTCAGAAATTGCTTCATTTATGTATTTGTAGAGAACTTTTCAGTGTATTATTATTTTTGTGTGCAATGCAGCCTTGGGTAAAGGTTCACTGACATTGTATTCCATTCATTCATGCAATATATCTATATAGAAATGTCTGTTCTACTGAAGAATGTGCATTAAATAAAGCCAGAAATGAACCGGCTTGTGATGATGGCCACACTCTGTTGTGTCCTACAGGTAGCTCGTCATCGTCATACAACACCCCGTCCCACGCCGAGCAGTCACCCCGACTGGCCACCAAAGAAGGTATGATGTCTGTTTATTTTCAGAGCCTTGGCCCAGTGGGCCTCACTGTGGTCACACCTACAGCTCTATCGTGAGAAGCATCAGGGAGTTATTCTAATCCGACTCTCGATTTTTTTTCTTTTTTGGTATTTTCTGTGTTTTTTTTTTTATTTTATTTTTTTGTATTCCATCTGGAAAAATCCTGTAAAGTACTTTGTGGGGGGAAAATACCAAATACCACGATGTGTGAGTGTAAAAACATCCATCCATCTTCTGTATCACTTTTCCAGTACAGTCAAAACATGTGATACTACATAAAATTTCACAAATTATATCCTGCGACCCAATACTGGAAGAGTGAATGGACAATGGATGGATGGATGGATCATTTATTATATAGTCAAGAAATAAGTGTTACGGTAGCCATATTTGAAAGGATATTAATACATTGGCTTGGCTGGGATGTTTAAAGGGCCTTTGGCCACTATATGAGTAGGAGGGTCTATATAAATACCAGCTTTTGTGGAATGGAAGGTCCCATAGCAGAGAGCTACTGGCTAAATAGGGATGCAGCCGGCACTGGTCGCATTCTGATCGTGAGCACTGCACCGCAGTGCCAGTGAGGCAGCCAGTGCCTTTTCTATCCCGGCGAGCAAGTGGCATGGCGATGGCGGTTGCTACGGCGATGGCGGGTACCGCGGCGATGGCGAGCGCCCTACATGACAGGTGTGTCTTTGTGAGGCTGATAGCAGCTAGCCCACTTAAGCTAGCACCCCATTGAGGGTCTACCTGCTCCTGTGGTGGGGGCTTGGTGGGGGGGGGGGGGGGGGGGGGGGGGGGGGGGGGGGGGGTACTGGAGACTGGGTGCTCGGAGAGACAAAAAAGCAGGTGGGCTATGAGAGGGGCTGGGGGGCGGGTATGAAGGGGGGGGATCTGGAAGACAGGTGGCAATGCCAGACAAAGGCCAGTGTGTGGAGAGGAGTTGGCTTTTGTTTATCGTTTTTATTTTTTCACAAATGACATTCTGGGGGGGTATGGAAGGAGGGGGCAGCAGTGCCCCCCACCATGTATCACATTTTTTGCAGGACTGCCATCTATTTCAATTCATTTTCTTTGGCCATGAAACCTACCGAACATTTCATGGCCTGTCGAGCAGGGGCTAACAAACCCCACTGCCCCCTCACCCGGACCCCAGACCCCGCCCTCACTGCTCCGGGTTGCAGTCCCATTAAACACTCAGAATGCATATCTAAAACTAGGAATCCAGGAGCAGAGATGAGGCGCCAGATTCTGAAAAAATTGAGGGTGTACATCCACCGATGGTCTCTGCTCTTGGACCTGGGGGTGGCCCAGCTCATAATTAATATTAACGGTGTTTAGCATGCAGAGTGGAGGGATTGTGCATCATAGTGGAGTATCCCGCTGTAAAATGAAAAATCTCCGTCTTAGAATAAGACGGCAACATAAGACATGCTGCGCTACGCGTTACGCAGTACAGCTGCGATGAAGTATGAGATACATTCAAATACTCAGAACGGCCGCAATACATGCGTGTGACTGCACAGGCTTAGTGAATTAGGTGTCACCCTAAGGGATGCGTTTCTGCGTCCTTAAACTCAGACACAGTGCACCCCCCTCCCCGTCCACCACACAGCCATCCTGCCGTCTCCCAGTGGAGGAGGGTGGAAACTTCGCCGTTCCTCTCCGCATGGCGCGGCCCAAACTGCGGCCCAATGTGTCTCGGGGCTCCGGGTGGCCGAAATGGGAGGGGCCGTGAAGATAGGCCCAGGCCCTGGGAACAGCACTATCGGGACTGACTCACAGGGCTGCCCCCCCACCACCCCATGATAAGGGCCCAAGTCGGCCCCCTATCGCTCCACCACAAAATCTCATTCACAAGCCCCGCCCTCTGCCTTTTGCATTCTCATCAGTTTAATTAGCCTAATGGGCAGTTGGATAAGATAGTGGAGGAGCCAGTTTGCCCGTCTAACTGGAGTTCAACACCAGGCATTTGATCTTGTAGATTGTTGGGGGGGGTTTGTCTCCACCCAGAGGACAAATCCGACAACACAGGGTGACCCGGCACCCTCCCAGCAGTGGACAGTCCTTTTCTTTTTTACCTCAGTCCGGCTGGGTTATGTCACTCTCTCGTTGACGCACGGGGCGTGAGGCCTGCAGGACTGGCACCGAAAACCGCCATTCATGTGTGTCTTTCGCAGACGCCGCTGGCGAGACGCGCCGTGGCTGATTACCAACGCGAGGTTCATCAGGGTGCACTCATAGTTGGCCCGAAAACGCAAATATCCAGCTGGATAAATAGAAGGAAAATAAAGGCTTTCCCGCATTTTCGCTTAAAGGAACCTATGGAGAAGTAGGACTTTAAATAGATACTGAAAATAGCCGATTTTGGGTGTATTAATTTGAACGCAGGGTTACTCAGCCTGATAAAATGACATGTTTGAGTCTCTAGAAGTCACTGGAATGGAATGGCAGGAAATGAACGAGCCATGACAGCTCCACAAATGCCACGCTGGGCCTCTGCTCCTTGCAGAGCTGATTAACGGGGTGAGATTTACGCCGGGTTTGTGCTTTGTCATTATCTCGGGCAGTGGTGACGGAACTGCCATATGTGGCCCCACGTATCAGGGACCTGACTTTCGCAAGAGAAGCCACAGACCACTAGCCCAAGCGGGACTCGGCCAGACGGGGAACGGGGACCCGAAAGCGGCTGTCGGCCCCATCTGTCTATCTATGCTGTGTGAAGCCTTTCGGAGAAACCGCACGGCCCCTCGGACAGTCGTGAGGGTTCGAGGGAGAGGAAGCCCCGTCCAGCCCCCAGCGAAATGCCCCCCCCCCCCGACAGTAGCCGGATCCGTCGCGATTGTTTTCCTTTCAAATTCCGAAGTTGTGTTTCGCCCGCCTGGGTCTCCCTCTTCAAACCCCCCACCCCCAGCTCGACCGTCCCCCCCAACGCCCCTACCCCGAATTTCCCTCTGTTCCTGACCCTTCCCTCCCTTTTGGAGGGAGGCAGCCCCCGTGTGTTTTTTCATGGGGGGGGGAGGGGGCCATTTAGACAAAGAGGGGTTGTCTGCAGGCAAGGCGGGGGCAGGAAACGCAGGTCTCTGAGGACCGCACCCGGCCCATGTGCCACAGCCTCTGCCTGGCCCGGCCCGTATTGGAGCTGACAGGCTCTGCCGCGTCCCGGCTGCCTGCTTGTTATTCCTCGGCTGCCCCCCCCCCCACCCGACTGGGACGGGGACTGACTTCTGGTTTTGTCCCCCCTCCCCCATCCGAAGCCGGCAGCTCAGGAATGAGGGATACATTAAAACGGAGTAAAATAATAAAGAGGGTCCTTTTTACCGGGGAGTAAGTGAACATTTAGCGAATGGAAAAAAATTCAGACATTCCTGCTTTCATTGAGCTAAATTGAATGTGAGTTGTTTCGGTAACGGTGCTATCGAATCGGACCTCACAACAGCAGAGCCCCTCGCTACAATAATACAGTGTACTTCTTTCACAAGTTAAATGAAGTGAGTTTGTTTAAAATGGCATGAAGCCAGTGCTTTCTTTGTTAGGTAATAAGCATAATTCTGTTTTTGGGGTTTTTTTTCCTTGAACCTAACAATTCATTGCACACCCGCCCTTAGCCAGATGGCAAAGGTCATTACGTCAGTGTGAGATTCAGCAGTCCGTTACATTCCTGATATGATGCTCATGATTTGACCACCAGTCTTTCTAATTTATAATAACCAAAAAATAATAATTCCACAATTGTACATTATGCTTATGTATAATACCTAATTTGTATCATTTTTATCTTTTATCTTAGTTTTAGTTGTTATGCTTATTAGGATCAAATTTTAAAGTCTTTTATATGCCTGCTTGCTTGGTTAATAAAATTGAGGATCCATCGACGCATAAAATATAGGATGCATTGTTCCTGTAGTTTTTTTTTCCTCCACAAGGGGGCACTGTCAGTCCACAGGTCATTAGAGGATCGACTCAGTTCCGACAAATATTAACGATGCACACTTGAGCTTCTGATCTTGGTTCAGTTTAAGATGGACCTTGTTTTCTTTACAGCTGGTTACCATGACACTCCCATTGTGTCACTGCCTTCTCAGGGCCTTTAAACAGTGAAGCGAAGTACATCCTCCTCACGTTTAATCCAGCATAAGTTAATGTACAGGGACTCTTTTTTTTCTGTGATCTCGCAAGTTGGCAATGAGCAGGTGCAAATTGGAAGAAAAAAAAAAAACCCTTGCAGCCTGATAACCACTATGTGGCGCTCATGAGCCTTTTTCTGGGCCTGATGTTTCCATGCCAGCACACACAGCACATCCCAGTGCGGGCTTCTTGGACCGAATCCAAACCAGGGGGAGCTTTTTATAGCCGTCTACTGGCATGGAGCGTGTCTCCTCCCTGTTCCCACAACATTCCGGTTACTTTGAAAGGATGAGAATGACGGAGTCGGCTCACTGTCCCCATCTGCTGTAAAAGAGAAGGTGTCCGTCTTACTTTTGGCTGATAGGAAGCGAATCTGTGGGCGATGGTGCCTCATTTAGCCGTGAATTTTTCCCATTCTCGGGAAAACCACGTTGCTCCTAGTGCTGTTTTACGACACGCTTCAGGGGAACGCTATTGATATAATTATTTTCTTCTGGCGTGTGTGGAAAGATCACCTTTTATTTTGTTTTTGTTTTGTTTTTTTGGCCGCCCATTAAAAGTCTCCTATTCTGTCTCGCAGACCCCTCATATGATGCAGTGAGACGCAGTGGGTGGTCAAACAACATGCACAGTGGAAAAGGTGAGTGAAAAACACTCACTTACTGCACTCGTCTGGACTTACTTGATTTGATTTACACCAAGCACCTGGATAGACAGACCCCCTAATGCTATTGAGTAATGGCTTACCTTTATATTACAGTATAATGACACAGAGTGGGACACCTGGTTTAGCACGATTCTAAATGGCCACCCAGCGCTCGTTGGCAGTGAGCAGAGCCTGCTGTTGTGTGCTGATGGTCCGGTTTTAAGGGCGGGTTCAGTGCCAGTTCTTAGCCGAGGGAGACAGGGCAGCACTCCAGAGATTAAGAACTCTGCAGCCAGCCCCTGGAAACCAGATGCTTAAAACTCCATTAAGCACTTAGAAGCATGACCTGCTCCTGCCCTATTTTCCTTGGAATTGTCAGAGGCTGTTGTAAAGCTCTCTGTCCTGGTGGTCCAGCTCCCGCCTGGCTTTCCGTCCCTCCAACCCACCTCTCCTGCTTCACGCACACAGGTTCACCAGCCGTCTCGCAGAGCATGTCCAAGACCCCTGAGCAACAGAGATCCCAGCCAGGTAAACAAGAACAGGGAACGTCCTCCCATCTCCGCAATGAAAGAGAACAGAATTAGCCCACACAGTCTCACACGCTGACTCTCTCTCTCTCTCTCTCCTCAGATCCCTACCAGATACTAGGACCTACCAGCAGTAGGCTGGCCAATCCAGGTAAGCACACATCCCGTCCAAAATTATATCGATATGTGTAACAGTCAGTCTAGCATTCTTTACACATTGGTTTCCATTTATCATCCATACCGGCATTTTTATTGGGATTAAAATCCAAAAAGAATTTTTAAAATCCCCTGAAAATTATGTCTCGACCCATTTTAAACCTGAAATAACTGAAATGATTTTAGCACACAAAAATACTTTGCAGTGTCCTCACAAAGACAGTTCAAATGGGATTATAATACATCCTAGGTACTTCTAGGATGAACTTTCTGAATCGACAACAGGAAGATGCATCCCTACCCTCGGACCTGCTGGTCTTGCTTGGTCCACACTGGATGTACAGGCAGTCTCTGGGTTAAAAATGCCTGACATGCACAATTCATACTTACCAACAGACAGCCATGAAGCCTATTATAGCAAAAATTTGAGTTGAATACAATGGTTCATAATAACTAATGCACTGACACTCAAGACAACATTGTACAGCTTCTGAGATTCGTTGGCTCGAGGTACAGTACAGTACCGTATGTAGTTACCTAGGAATTACTGTATTATTATATACTGCATTACTATTGTTCCGACTTACCTACAAATTAGACTGAAAGACAGACTTAGGCAATGGATCCTGTTTGTAGTCTATGTATTTTTTGAGAATTCTATGAGTATGAGAAGACTGTAGATCTCATTTTAGCCCTACAGAATTCTGACCCGTGACTCTGGGCCTGACGTGCGTGTACTATTACCATCCGGTGTTCTGCAGGCTCCGGCCAAATTCAGCTTTGGCAGTTCCTCCTGGAGCTGCTCTCCGACAGCGCAAACGCCGGCTGCATCACCTGGGAGGGCACCAACGGCGAGTTCAAGATGACGGACCCGGACGAGGTGGCCCGGCGCTGGGGCGAGAGGAAGAGCAAGCCCAACATGAACTACGACAAGTTGAGCCGCGCGCTGCGCTACTACTACGACAAGAACATCATGACCAAGGTGCACGGGAAGCGCTACGCCTACAAGTTCGACTTCCACGGCATCGCCCAGGCCTTACAGCCTCATCCCACAGAGTCCTCCATGTACAAGTACCCCTCGGACTTAGCCTACGTACCTCCATACCATGCCCACCAGCAGAAGGTCAACTTCGTCTCTCCGCACCCGCCCTCCATGCCAGTTACCTCCTCCAACTTCTTTGGACCAGCTACCCCCTACTGGAGTTCGCCAACCGGTGGTATCTATCCCAGCTCCAGCGTGCCACGACACCCCAGCTCCCATGTGCCATCTCACCTGGGCAGCTATTACTAAACCTGCTCCAATGCTCACCCAGCCTGGCCTGAACTCTTACAAGAGGACATGGACTCCTCACTCCTGAAACCCATTTTGGATTTGAAACTCTTGGATTTATTTCTCAGATGCTAAATTAAGGAAAAGAACTGGATATTGCTATCCACTTATAATGAAGTACTACTTACACGCCTGATGGTTGGTTTGTATATGTTTGTGTGTCATTTTTGTTGTTTTTTTCCGCCTTTCTACCCTGAAAGCTGCATCTGTGGGTATATTAAAAGGACCCACAACCCTCCCCAGAGCTGGACACCAATATCTAAGCAGACAAGGGCATTGTGGGAAAACCGAGGCTGTCACGCTGTCTTTCTTGAGACATGGACTCAGCTTTCTTGGGTCCCAAATTCTAGCTCCAGTTTTTGGACTCCAGAAGATGTTTGTCTTGTGTTGTATGATCAGTCTTTCTGTGTGTGTGTGTGTGTGTGTGTGTGTGTGTGTGTGTGTGCATCTGAAGCATCTTCTGGAACTCTGGGAGAGTTCAAAAGCAAAGGACATCTCAGCCCCCAGGAGGCAATCTAGTGACTGGGAGTTGCCAGTCACACAAAACTTTTATCCTCCAAACTGGAAGTTGGAGAAGCCAGAGGAGTCGTGGTGCCTTCAAGAGGCCTCGCATGAAGCCAGTTGGGGCAGACACCGTGATGGAACCAGACCAGTATTAATGTGAATGCACTGCCATCTGTGGGTCTCTCGGCCCACATTCAGCTGTTGTTCTGAGACCCTTTCGTCAAGCTCAATTCCACGGGCATCTTTCGCTTTTCCTACCCTGGATGTCCGACTCTCTTTTCCATTCTGGTTTTAGCAGCCTTAGCCCGGTTCAGTCCGGTTCGGCCTCGTTCGTTTCAGTACAGTGGACATCCAGGTTGAGGAGAGCAGTTACATCTATTGTTCGGCTCAGGGGACGACTTCTCAAAGCTGTTTCTTATGTTAACACATTACTCACCATTCCCTTGCTTGATACATTTATCCCACACTCTAACATTATCGTACATCCAGTAAATTTCTCAAGGCATTTTGAAGCAGCTCTCTACAGCTCCAACAAGAGGCTTGGAGGCAGTAACTCTCAGAAGTAAACCTGTAACTAAAACGGAAAGCGGAGACGGAGATTAACGATTCCAAAGCAGAGCATTCCTCGGATTCACGAACGCTGTGCGTTTGTCAGATCTATTTTCTAGTTTTGTTTTTAACATTGGTCAACCATGCGGTAAAGCATCTTACTGTATAAATTATGCAGAGTTATTTTCATATGTGAAGCAGTATTGAAAGTCAAGAGAATTAACACGAGTTGACCTCGGTCCAAAAAAGCAAATTGTTTGGAAAAAAGAAATAACAGTTACTGATGTGTAGTATGTGCATTTTAATGAAGTGTTTTTATATCTGTACATTTGGGCAGTAGCTTGTATGGAGTTTTTTATATTGAAGAAAGTTTCTGCTACTTTCACTACCTTTCAGTGACAAATCAATAGACAATCCTACCTGATATTTTATTTTCCCAAGCAAATTATATATGTTTGAACTGTTTTCCTGTGCCTTAAGAAGCGAGACAATCACACTTTTTTTAATGCCTCCATTTTGGATTCTATCTGAATGTAGCAGGAAGAACAGAATCCCAAAGACTACTCAGCCTAACAGACTATTTAGCTGCTTTTGTTCCTGTGACCAAACGGACTGAACATCTCATGCACCTGATCAGCATCACAGCAACACAGTAAATACAGATCATCAAACCTGATCTGCATTTAATAGCGCTTTTACCGCTGAGGTTTAAATCACCACGAAATATTTAAGGAGCAAGAGAGCAATAATTTTTGACATTTACTGAACTTCCGCTTTCTGCATCCTTCCCAGCCATACAGGAGCTTTGCTCCTCCATATTATGCAATTTACTTAGGATATTAAATATATATAAATATATATGTAAAATTTTGCAAGTATTCTTTTTGTATTTTTAACGATCCTGCAGTGTATACTATTACCTATTGTAAAAGGGCTGTCGTATAAGGAAAATGTGAAAAAAATAAATGTTTTTTTTCTTCAAAACATATATTTTTATTCTTTAGCTCACAGGTCTCCAAACATTTTTTTTTACAAACATTTACTTTTACAAAGACAATATTTTGGTGAGTACTGTGCATGTGTGTGTCTGTGTGCGCGCGTGTGTGTGTGTGTGTGTGTGTGTGTATGCCGCTCGACTGGTTGGTGGCCATTGCTCTAGGTTCTGCAATAATAATTACTGTTACAAACACTTCTTGATTTCTGAATTATAGTGAACAAGCGTTTTCCACACAGGGTTTCTGGTTTCTCCACAAAACAGCAACAGCCCAAAGTTATGCAGAATTCTTCCGAATGTATGATGGACTATTGTCCTGTCCAGCATGTGTTCCAAGCACCTCAGGCTTCCGGAATGTGAACCAAACTCACTGCAACCCCACAGGAACAAAAGAACCTTGTTGAAAACAAACTTTATCAAAATGTTCTGTCAGTTTCCATGTGAAAACACTCACACAATGTCGGCTGGACAGGGTATATACCTCCAGGCCTGGATTGGCCATCTTGTATACCAGGCATTTTCCTGTTGGGCCTGTGGGTTTGTGGGCCGGCAGAATTTATCATGGGGTACTTTGAGGTCTATGGCGGATTTTTTTCCCAGTCCAGCCCTACATCCAACATCCAACCAAAAATAAAATGCCACCCGAAAAATAACAAGCATTAAAAACTATTTGCAGTAGCATCATCATCTCATGGGCCCACAGGAGAGGAATATGGAACTTCAACTTCCTTAAAGCAGGTCCTGGAACATTGCCGTCCAAGATGATCCATCTCCCACAACATGGATGGAAGCACTGAGGTTATTTCATTCTCGCCAGTTATAGGCTTGGTAAACGATCTTCCCCGAAAAGGCATATTTCATACCCACCTCTTCACCCCTGACTTACTGCAGGCTGCTTCTCTGCCAGCACCAACGCATCCAGGGCCCACTTTATAACAGGCCTTACAGCCCCAGAAAGGCGGTATTGTATTCACCACCAGACACGCCTGGGGGGTTGGGGGCTTGATGCCTGAATGGAAACACATTTCCAGCTGGACGCCTCTGGGCTCGTTTTTTTCACGCGGGGAGCATGTGGTGTAAGCCAATCCGCAGTTTTGCCAGTGAGACGGCCTGATGAAAACCCCACCTGATTGGACTGGATGAGGTTTTTCATAATGACGGCCAAAACGCATTCGACATTGGCCGCGATGGCCGTTAGATAAGCCTCGCTCTGACCGGAGACAGACAGGATGCATTAACTTTGATATTTCTTTTTTAATATGACTGGGCCCAAAGAAAAGCCATTTATCATAAATAGGAGGCAAGTTAAAAATGATTTTTCTGGCTCAGCCTCATTTTCAACAGCTCCCGCTGTGTGACGTCTCCAGGGTCATGCCTGACTTATAAAGGGAAATATTCTAATTTCATATGGGATCCATATAGACTCTGTATAGACCTCCCAAGAATATGTGCTTTCTTTAAGTATATAAATGTAAAAAACGCACGCATCATTAAAAAGAAAAAAATATGTATAAAAACTATTTTAGTCATGTGACATAAACTACATTACTGAAGTAAAAATACAATAAATATAAATAATAAAAATAATACTAGAAATTAATGATTATAGCGTGTGTGCAGAAGAAATATGCTATGAATTATTCTTCTTCTGAAGCATGTTATCATCGGATTCCCTCTCCATTTTCACAAAAAGCTTGAAGACCCACTGTTCCAGAAACATCTCTACCAGTCTGATTCCGCCCTCGGTCCTGCTCCCAAACTGCTATCTCTCGTACCTGGGCCTTCGGTGGAAGGGCTGCAGCCGGGGGCTTCGCGACATGTATGCCCTGCAGATTCAGGGAGGCCAGCACCATATGGGGGCCTTGAATATGCAGCTGGAGAGACATGAGGACATTTTGTCAAGGGGGGGCCCAGAATTTCTAGCTACACCGTAACTTCTGCTCGACAGCACGCGTGCTTATAATGTCCACTGAATAAAGTTAATGTCAATGTATTCCAATGCTGTTCAGGTGATTCCTCAACAGAGCACATGCTGAGGGAACAGACGGTGATCCCGGTTCCACACTTACGGTTCTCTCTGGCCTTCGAAGTCGGAGACTGTGTCACATAGTGGCAGGATGGAGGTGAAACAATGGGGAACCCTGACACCGGACGCTGGCCCCCCCCCCCCCCCCACCACCTTCCTGCCAGCTGCGTTTGCATTGTTCCTTTGATGGCTCATGTCTAGAAGCAAAATTAAAATAAACATCATGCACATTCCCGCAGATCTGAGATTGTTCATGGGTGTTGGGGAGTCATTCTGTCACCCTGGACAATAGAGGACAATAAAAAGGAAACATAGACGCACAGTTAAAATATCGTTTTTAAAACAACTGATTAGGCAGCCCCGCCTCGCGTCCAGAAAATTCCATTCGAAGACGAATGGACAATTGATTTAGTAGGGCAAGGTGTGCATTACAATGGCTGAAACGTCATTGAAGAGGCGTGCTGAGTTTGTTGCACAAGATTGCTGTATTTATTTACTTATTATTTTGAAATAATCACAAAAACCGCGTTATTTTCACCTGAAATACTCTACAAACTATTATAGTTCAACGTTCAATTAAACCTGTATCATACAAAGCATCAGAAATAGAAAAGAACAGCGGCAGAGCTCTTGTATTTCTCATTACAGACGCATGCATTTCTTGGGACAAATCACAGGGGTCAGTTTTCACAGTCTTTGGTACCTGACCTTAATTCTATTTAACTATGGATTTAAACTCATTTTCCATAGACGGCATTGTTGGCAGGTGAGTGAACTGCCAGCCTTGAGGGACTTTGTGTGTGTGTGTGTGTGTGTGCGTGTGTGCTCCAGGTATGCCAAATGTCCCCACAACGTGATGAATACCCGTTTTTTACCTGGTCCCCATATGGGAAAACTCTATTTTATAAATATCCGTGACTGCAATGAAAAAACTAAAAATTATTTTGTTTGGTTACTTATGTTTATGGTTAGGGCTGGGTAGGGGTTAAAGTAGCATTAGCATTTTTCCCACAGAAATGAATGAGCGGTTCCCCTAAAGATATGATTACACGATTGTGTGTGTGCGTGTGTGTTTTATGCGTGCGTGCGTCTGTCTGTGTGTGTGTGCGTGTGTGTGCGTGTGTGTGAATGTGTGTGCATAGAAGTGAATGAGTGGACCCCATAAGGATAGGTACACCTGACATGTGTGTGTGTGTGTGTGTGTGTGTGTGTGTGTGCACTCTGGTAAATGGACTGAAGTGTAGCTGGTGAGTGTTTTGTCCCATAAAAGCATAAGCGGAATGTAAATCAATTAGAACATCAGTCATTTATAAAAAGTTGATAATAATCACCTGTTTGGCTGCTATTACATAGGAAATTCATTGAACTACAGCCCTGCCATGTTCGTATCTCATGTCTTTTATGGAAAAAGCCTCATTCGTTATTCTGCTTAAAATCATTTTGCATCAATGTTTTGCATAATGAGGTAAGAAGCTGCATTTCTCTACTATATATATATATATATATATATATATATATATATATATATATAATAAATATGCCAGCTTTCATCATGTGACCTTTACCATAGGTGGAAAATTCAGATCCAGAAAGTACAAACCCAGAACAAGGTTTTGCTTCAACCAACCACTTGAGTACTCTGTGACTGAATCTTTATACTCAACTGGTTGGTTGAAACAAAACCTTGGTCTGAATTTGTTCTTTCTGGACCTGAACTTTCCACCTCTGACCTTTACAGGGAACATTCTTCTGTCTGTCAACTCTCAATGAAGAAATCTAATTCAAGATCAGGACCCCCTTCCCTCCTTTTTCTGATATCTCATTACCTTCATCAGCAGAAACTGAGATCAAAACCGTCTTGCAGTTTATACCCAGTGCAGGAAATATGACAGCTTCTCTAATATGTGTATGAAACATAGAGACTTCAATCCACAGACATGGAGCCATTTCCATAATAAAATATTTGGGCCTCTGAATCTGCGAGTAACAAACCCTTGTTTTGTTAAAAGCCCACATGGGCTCACATTTTGGTGATATAGGCGATCTCCGAAGGCATTTCAAGAATTTCGAAGCCTTGGTTGTCAAAGCCTCTCCTGTCATGGTAATTGTGCACCTTCTCGTTGTGACAGCAATCAGCACAGTGTGGAGTCGGCACCGGCAACGTTTTGGATAAGTTACAGAAGTCTACACAGTACTTGCCCTCCTTGGTTCGAGAAACGATAGGCAGGAAGGCACGGCCCCACTGAATCTCCCGGGGGATGAAGGAGGTCCGTACTTGGAAAAAAGTGCTGGTGGACTCGGCCGTTCCTTCGAGGAAGACCACCAATTCGAAGTCCTGCTGATGTAGGGTATCTACAGCCATCTTGAAGAACGGGCTGGTCTTGTTGATGACGTGATAAAGTGTCATTGGACAGATGAAGAAGAGGTTATCCTTGCCTGCATCCACTAGAAAGTCAATGTTAACTTGATCCATGATAATGGTCTCCCCTTCGGGTGTGACGGTAGTCCTCAGCAACTTGCCGTAAATTTGGGTCCCGATCAGCAGAGTCCTACGCAGATTCGCCACCTGAATCGCCAGGCAGAGGTTGCCGTTTTTCATGCAGATGACAGCTGTCCTGCTGAAGGTGATAGTTTTAGACCTCTTCTTGGGTAGGGACATTTTTGCCAGGATGACACCAGACAAAACGCTGTTGATGATGGTGCCTATTATGATCTGGACGATGAGGAGCACAATAGCTCCAGCGCAGTGAGGCGTGATGAGTCGGACCCCGTATCCGATGGTCGTCTGGGTCTCGAGTGAGTAAAGGAAAGCCGTGATGAGTCCATCCACATTGTTCACACACGGCATATGATCAGGGGGTGGAGTCTGCCACCATAAGTCCATGTTGCTTTGGGCGATCCAGTACCATAGCAGCCCAAAGATGAACCAGCTGCCTATGAAGAAGATGGTTGAAAAGAGCAGCAGATAGCGCCACCGGATCTCCACAAATGTGGTCCAGAAGTCAAACAGGAAGGCAAAGCACTTTCGGTAACTTACGTGGCCAAACTCAATGTTGCAGTGGCCGTCCTTAGTTACCAGACGGTTCCGGTGAATCTGGTACTCATGAAGGTATTTCTGCAGGAACTGCATCATTTTCTAACTCCACAAATCTGACTGACACAAAAACAGAAGATGGTTTTGAGATACTTTAATGTTTTGAAAATTCTTTGCAACTCAGACGCCTCGCCAGTTAATTACTGCACTTAAATTCTTTTAAGATTCCAGCCGAGATTGAGTTAATGTTTTGCTTGTTAGCAATATTCACTCTAGGTTTTAATTAGTATAATTTTTTTATGCGTTAAAGTATTTCCCTCACGACCTAGTCTCTAATTATGGTGATTTATTAAAGTGGATGGTATCCTAGCAGCTTATTCCCAGTATTTTTCAGAACCGCTGCGAACCTGGATAAAACCTGGGAACTAATAAATACATTATGCTGTACTGTTGCATGTAAACATATGTATAAGATCAAATACCTAGAAGAAGGAAGATCCATGTTTTCCTAGAACCCTTTTCTTAACTGGCAGCTCTTTGAACTTTTAGTTGGCCATAACAGACAATATGTATAATCCACTTACCTGCTACCCAAGACTTTTGGTCAGGAAATTTGTTTAGATGTTACAGTTCCTCTTCACTAAACTGTATTTTTCTGCATGTATTCCATGTTTTAATACCTTGCTGTTTTTTGCCTTCCCACGAAAAAAAACATTGTGCTTCTCATACAAAGAATTTCTCTAATCCCATTTAATGTTTTGTCAGCTTTTCAGTCTATTTACACGGTTCCTCCGCCCTCCAAACCCTACAACAAAAACAGTCCATGTTTCTCACCATTCTGAGAAAATTCTCACATTCGGAGAAGAAAGAAACGCACCTGACCGAGAAAATTCGTTCGTTTGCTAGAACCGGGAAACGCTGTCGATTTGTTTCATTGGGCTTTTGCTCAATGGACTTCAAAAATTTAATTCCTGTGGTTTTAGAGATCATAACCCTCCTCATTGCACCTTTTGAAGGGAGAGAGATTTAGAGCTGACGAGGAACTACAGCAGGGTTATTCAACTCACGGTCCTCGAGGTCCGAGCACTGCTGGTTTTCCAGCCTTCCTTTACCTGTCAGTCAGGTGTGAAGCCTCTGACCAATCAGAATCAGTCATTATTAAACAACTACTTGGGAGAACTGAAAACACGGCCTGGATTTGGAATCGAGCGCCAGAGTTGAAGAACCCTGAACTACAGCATCATAAAATTCAGTCCAGCTTTCCCAGGAAATGTCGATGATATTGGAAATGCTGATTGAACTGTAGAGGATGAAATAACAGAACCCACCAAGTAACTGTGACCTTCTTGGTATTTTGGCAGGGCACCCTCTACACCACTGTCTCCCAACCCAGTCCTCAGGGATCCCCAGCCAGTCCATGTTTTTGTTCCCTCCCAGCTCCGAACGCACCAGTACCAGGCATTCGATGTTCTTGATTGGCTAAGAGATGGGAGAGAGCAAAAATGTGGACTGGCTGAGGTTTCCTGAGGACTGGGTTGGGGGGAACACTGCTCTATTCCCACAGCAAATTTGCAGCAGTGCTCTTTAAACGTGTATAAATTCCACACATCGAGGTACTGTTACACAAATGCAAAGTAGACGCTCTGCAAAGGAACTGAATTATGTATATGTCATGCAGACTTATCTTCTTCTGTATGAGATTTAAACCTGATCGACTCCTGGACCTTTTCCGGTACAGATCTGGGTTCAAACCACCAGGATCTGTTTCCATTTAACACCAGCCGGGTCTCATTTTTATTGGAAGAAAAATATAGAAAAAGTAAAATAAAAAGAAAAAAACACTTAATTCAATTTGTGCCCCCACTTATCACTGAAGGGCAGTGTATTACATTAGTCACTGCTAGTGTAGGTACAGTTTTCTACTTTCTGAAATATGTGGTATATTTGAACCCTATATTTGTATTGTTATATAAAGCAGTATAAAATTTGATTTAAAATATGTTCTGGTAAGGCGGCATCGTCTAGGAAACAATACATGGGAAGAGGATCTTGTCATGTTTGTGACTTGTGATAAAACACAGACCACACTTTCTAATATGTTATTAAACACACATGACCGCTAAACGGATGTTTGATGCATGACACTGACTCACTGGGTATGACAGAGACAAAAAAGAGCAAATTCCCATGCAATTAAAAAACAGGCTTTACTGAGACACGTTAGGCAATGTTACGGGTGACAATTGACTGCTAGCCTAGTTCTGCCCTTTGTCATTCTCTCACTGTAAAGGAGCATTCAGACATTTCTTTATTTCCAACAGGACGCTTGGTGACTGTTGGAATCTCCAGGTTTGGAGGGAAGATGTTACAGTTTTGTGTGAAGAAGGAGAAACGTGGTACGTGCTAGAGAGTCTCCAAGGGAGAAGAACCAACAGCCTACCTCACTGGAGGGTCTGCTGGAGAAGTCGTCAGTCTTCAGGTGAGTGTAGGGTGCCTGATTTCTCCCTCAGGAGTGTCACCTACTGCAGGTACGCCCTGGCACTGTCACGAGCGTTCTGTCACCTTTTAAATGCTTTTGCTGTTTTTATAACAAACTTTCCAGGTTGCGGTAACTTATCTCGAGACCCCGCCCCACCCCCACACGCCCCAGCTTTGGACAGCTGTGTTTACCCTACAAACCCTTCAACCCAAGCAGCAGCAGCACCACCACACTGACCACGTCCTACCACCCCCCACCTGGGATGCCTTGGGGAGAACAGAATCAAATGGCCTTGTTTGGAATCAATACACCCACTGCTGTGTTCTGTTGAAAGATTAAATAATGAAGACTTCTGTTTGATGCATGTTGCAGGAGTGTGTGTGTGTGGGGGGGGGGGAGATCCTGAGCAATGAGCAAACCAAATGCCATGACGGGCCTGGAAATTTCACTTCTAGACAAAGACAGTATGAATATCTGAATTTAAAGACTCCTGATGTGATTATAATATAATCCTGGACACGCTCTTTCCACTCATTTTTTTCCAAACCTGTGCTCAAAAACAACGAATAAGGAACCTTAACGTGGGTGAATTAAACATAGGATTAACTATAGAAATGAATCTCCTCATTTCCTTTGCACTTTGTCACCTAAATACAACGGTGCTTTTTCTCATCACATTGGTGTTTTGTTGTGGCTACATGTTAAAAAACAGCAGGGCAGGTGAAGGGATCGATGGAGGTGCGTTTTGCAAGGCGGGCAGATCGATGTCCTCGCTTACAGGTGAAATGTTCACTTCATCATTTGGAAGACACTGTCTGACATTCTTGTTGCCCTAAAACCAGTAAAGGAGACGTTACACCTTGCTGATGATGAGGAACACGCGTAACTTGGCGGAAAGCGTCCAACAAAAGTGTAAAGGCACATTTATGTTTTATTTAATTAGCAAACACTTTTCTCCAGAGCAACATGCCTTTTTGAGGAAGTGGGATCAGCCAGTCCCTGGAACCACTGGGGGCTTAGGGACTTGCTCATAGGCCCAGTGGTGACATCACTCTGCAGACCACGGGATTTGAACTAGCAACCTTCTTATCACAGACTCCTAAACCACTCAGCCAATCACTGCCCCCCCTATAAAAACATCAAAATGGGTTTCATATTTCTGCTATTCTGTGAGACTAAGTTTGCATTTTCCATGTTGTGAAATTGCTTTACATCATTTTTCTTCTTTTATATGATACGTTTAGGTGATCTTATCAGCAAAAAGCATGGAAACATGGTGTACAAACCTTTTTGTCGAATTTTATTTTATGTAAGTCATTGTTTTGTTATTATAGATTATTCCAGCATTCCAGCAATACCGCGATTCACTTCCTGCGATGATTAATGCGAGACACCAGACGGGGAAGCCTTCTTAAGAAACCCATCGCAGCGTCTGATACCAGGAACCCAGATAAAGAGAACTGAGGTCTGTTGTCAAAAATAGACATGGAGTCCCTTGTCAGTGGAGGACAGGAACGTTTACATCCGTCCGGCTGTAGGCTTCATCCGGCACACAAGCCATTGATGGCACTTACTGTGATGTAATCGCTCACTAGCAAGATTTGTCATGTGTGATCATCCATCCATCCTCCAATTACTTATCCAGTACAGGGTGATGGTGCCAGCCACACACCAAAGAACTTTGAGGAACCCCCCCCCCCCCCACGACACAGGGAGAACATGTAAACTCCACACACATAACTGGGACTCGAACCCCTGACCCTAAACTCATAAAGCAAGTGCCACCTCTTCATATATAATAGAAAAATCTTTCTCATAGTAAAATATGAAGACGCTGTCAACATTACCTGACCATGACTAGATCCTCCAACATAAAATTACTTGCATTATAAAGATATAAAAATCATTATTTGAGTTACAACACTTTACACTGAATTTAGAGTGACATTTTTCACCAAGAAGAAGCTGTTTTAATGAAACAAAACAATAATAATCAATCTAAATGATAAATCCATAAATTAAACAAATGTATAAGCTAGTCTCACTTATTACCACGTCGTGAATCAGTAATGAAATGGGTGTATTATATGTACATTTTATAAGTCTATAAAATACTCTGTGAGTTACTGTATGTCCATGTCCAGGAGGGTGTGGGTTCAAATTCCAATGGCTGGTAGAGTAGTCATATAACCATTGGGCCCTTGAGCAAGGCCCTTGACCCCAACTGCTCCAGGGATGCTGGTAGACTCTGCAATATGATTCTCGTGTCACTTCGGACAGAAGTGTCTGCTAAGTATGCAGAAGTGTCAGTGTGAGGCAACCAGCTACTTCAATCTTTTGGTTCATCAAGGGTTTTCCTCGAACGTTTTGAGGAGGTTTAGTCTCAAGGAGCTAATTCGTCAGGACAAGATGTTCCAGAAAGGACCCAAACGAGGACCTGTTTGAAACCTCTGATCTCGACAGAGCCGAGTTGTCTGTCAGATACAATAAATTAAGCACCACAGGCTTGTCACCTCTTGTTTTTCCCCCTATTTCATTTCTGTCTGATGGCTTCCACAACAGCTGCTTAGCTATGGTTTGCTTCACAGGGATAAGCTTATCAGATCCTTTGTTCCTCAAATTGCTTTGACCATTATTCTGAGTCTCCGTTTCTTTTACAAAATACCCAGCTTCCTCATATTTGATGTCCTGCACGACTGGGGTAAATAATGTATTATTCAGTGTTTGGTGTAAAATAAATATTGAACACTTTTCACAGTCCGGAATTAAGATTCAAGAATCTCTACAATGTAAATATCTGCGCTTGAAAGTCTCAAGCCCACTTCTTAAATGTGAATCCTCTGGATTTCAGCATTTTGATAAGTTTCCAATTGCATGTCCTGCCCTGACCCACTGAAGGCATCGATGTGTGAAGGGACCTGTGTGCCGTAAGCTGGGAAGGAGTTTCAAACCTGACAGAAGGTCTTGTGACATTACAGTTTATCCTGGAGTACAGAAGCTAGGCTGTAGACACCTTCTTCTGCGACGTTGGTGTGGCTTGTGTGCAGCTCAGTGGGATCGGATGCTATGCCTGTGATTGGAAAGTAAAAAGCTTGAATCCAAAGCTTGGCAAAGTAATTTCAGCGTTGGGCCCTTGAGCAAGGCCCATGACCCCCAATTACTCCTTTGGGGGTGGGGTCTCTGGCCCCAGCTGAAAGCTGATTGGTTGTCAGAGTTCTCCCTCCCCAGTCACTGAAAATTCAAAACATAGCATTAACTAATGAGACGTTTCTCTCTGTATCTCTATGAATTTTGGCCAGCCGTATGCCCCTCACCTTAAAAAAAAAAAAAACATAGAATTCCCCCTGACAGGGACAGTCTTCCCTGCTTTCTCAAAAAGACGAAAGAAAAAGGATTGTCGTTTTTGCTAAAGGTATCTGCTAAATAAATAAAATGTGAATTGTGGGGACAATAGCTGTTTTCAAAACTGCCTACTGCATACTGAAAACACTGTATACTGCATACTGCAAACACTTCATACTGCAAACACTGCATATTGCAAACACTGTATGCTGTGTGCTGTTAGTCAGTGTAGTATCCAGCATGCCATCTTTTTTGTAAGAGTTTTGTAACATGGTACGTTTGACTTCCCCGTCAGCCTTTTTAAATCATTACTGACCATTTCCCACAGACAAGGCAGTATTTTTCAGCCGGTGCAGCAAATAACTCCACGGAGAGTGTACCACGGAAAACAATCAAATACTTATTAAAAAAAAAAAAAAAAAGCTTATTACAAATAAAATACTAACTAAACCATTAGCTTACTCACTTAGTGTCACATCCATTAAGCCCCGCGTTTATTGAAAGAACAGGTACATTGAGATGTGTAGACATGATTGAATAGAATTACAAAGGCAATCAGGGCAAACAACTATATATACACAAAGAATGTAACATTTTAATAAATAAATCACGAATTACAAATAAATTAGATTGTAGAGGAGGTGGGCCCAAAAAACTAGAGGACATCTGATTGGATGATCCTGTCTCTTCTAGTTGCTTGGACCCACATTCCTCTACAGTCTGATTGGTTATCTCTCTGAACCAATCATTTTTTTCATCATGCCCTCAGAACATTTTTGTGCAAGTAAAACTCCCATGAGCAAAATGTTAGCAGCTAACATTAGCTAGCTTGCTGATCTATGTAGAGCTGTTAACTTGTTTGGTCCAATTAGTCTGTTGTGGGTTTGTTGTACTTTACCCTCCTTTTTAAAAACTGAATTAAAGTTTTAACAGTTATTTTTATTCTAAGGCTGAGCTCTCTCTGGTGGCCATCAGTCTGGAATTTTCTTTCCATGTTAAAGTCAAGACAAGGCCGTGGCATGCTTCCGCGTTGCATTATGGGATGCAGTAGTTGAGGGCGATTTGGGCGTACTGCAAATTTCTTATTTTTCATAACGAATTTTTGGTAAATTAGTTATGAAAAATCAGTATATACTAGTAGCATATACTGTCAGTATGTACTAGTAGTATAGTATGCAGTATTAAAAACTGCCAAAGATTAGATCAGTCTGTTTACACAGCGTGATAGGTGGCACAGTGGGGCCGGGGGATGGAATCATACGCCCATTTTCTGTGGGTTTCTCGTGGATGCTCCCAGTGAGGTAAACTGGCACCTCTATATTGGCCATATTTGTGCCCTGCAGTAGACTGGCATCCCATCCAGGATGCACCCCATGCCACAAAGGATAGGCTCTCAGTGTCCCTGTACTAAAGAAGCAGGAGAAAGATGGATGGATTTACTATCCTGTTGAGATGCTTGTCAAAGCTGAGATCTGTTTTGTTGGTAGATCTATTTTGGGTCAAGCGCTTTGCTTAAGTTAAGGTGCCTTTAACCATCTGGTCATGACTCCTGACTGGGGTGAGCTGAATCAAGCTCGCTACCTATATGCTTTTATTACCTGAAACATCGCTGTGGTTGCATAGATACAGCACTCTTTGGGTGATTAGGGTTAGGGTTAGGATTAGGGTTAGGGAATGCCAATCAGTGAGACTCAGCTGGCCCTGGTTGGAAT